AATTGATGAATTTGAATGTAAAGAATTTTTATATTGGAGAAAAATAAAGACAATATAACTAATAACTTTTTTTTATAAGTGGGATACCCTACATATACACACTATTTGCCTCAATTGAGGTTTGAAACTATCACTTCCCACTTAGGGGAACAACCAAATACCAGTGAACAACACGCCACTTGGTAATTATTTTTCTTTTTTAATTTATTGATAATGAATAATTTTTTTTTGAAAATAAAGACATTGTAGATACATAATTCTAAATTAATGAAATGCATCTTTTTTTTTTTTTTTTGTAGGTATTAAATTATTATTTAATTTAGTAAGAGTAAAATAGAGTACTAATTATGCCAACTTTGATTAGGATATGGTTCGAACCTAAGACCTTTCTTATTGAAATCAAAGAGTAAGTTGAAATTAACGGAGAAAGATAATATTTAATGGAAAATTTAAGGGATAATCATATAATTAAGGATAAATTATGAAATCTCAAAGAAAAATTAAAATTTGATCAATATGAGCCATTCATTTGATTAAAAACTTTGACTATCAATTTGTTTTTCTACCATTTATACGCCTAACTCTCTTGGGCTCATATATATATATATATATATATATATATATATATATATATATATATATATATATATATTTCTAATCAAGTGAGAATTAGGTGTTAGATGAGAACCGTGTGGTCTATTGTTGGCCCTTGATTGTGGGTGATCTAAAGGTTGTCATTTGCTGTGCAATATGGCTGTCATTTACTGTGCAATACATTTAGTATTTTGCACTGCATTAATGGTTGGGGCATTTTGGATATTTGGTTGGTAGTTGCTTTATTTGTGTTGTTTAATATAGGATAGTTCCGTTTTTTAAGGACTGTAACGCATGTTTTCCACTCTGATCTCCCTTCTCGTTGCTATTGGCATTACCGTAGTTCGACCATTGTCCCCTGCGTTCTCCTTCGCTCTTTGTCTCCGATTCGGTATTTTGTTTGACAATTACAGAGGTGCATTAGTGTGTTGGTTTCTAGTAACTGGTGCACTTATAGTTAAAGTTTCGCATTCTGTTGTGTTCTACTATTCACGAGTCCTAAACCAATGTGTTGTTCTTTGTTGTGTAATATAATGATACTAAGTAGCAATGTTAATTGTGGTGGTAGACGTTTCATGTGGTGCTACAATATTGATGGGCCAGGTTTAAATTTTTGCATTTTCTAATTAGAGTTCAAATTCCCTGTAGATGCACTGCATTAGTTTTGTGGTTAAAATGCAACCAAGCAATGCAGCCTTCCCATTTTCTTCTGCACAACTTCCTTCAATTCTACATTGTTCCCGTGTAGGTGTGAAACGGTGGTGCATAGCCATATTTGCACAGTGGTTATGGCATGTGGTGCAATCATCCACGCCAAGCCGTGCATTACTGAAGACAATGTTGTGCACTCACAGTACTGCCATTTTCACGCCCATGTACATCCACATGTTTATAGCAGTGCACCCAAATATTACCAGCTGTGCAACCCCAAACAAAAAATCCATTACACACCCAAACGGAACAAATAAAAACACCTATTTCCTAGGAGTAAACCACACAAAGCTTACTTCGGACGATTGCACCGCCGGAGTCTGCTTCCGTGTACCGCTGGACATCTCGTCGTATTGCGTACTTCCGCAACGCGTTCGTGGCCGCATTTGTGGATGACCAGAACAAGAATGGGTGGACTGGGTGGACTGTGCAACTATGAGAATCGTAACGAGTATTGAATGTTTTAACGTAACTGCCGTTGCACTCCAATAGAATAGATTACGATTTTGCCCAGTGCATATTCACTTATCAAATAAAATTCAACAAATCCCACAAAATAATGAAACCCAATGAGTTGATCATAGCCGTGCATAATCAAGTATTTAATGGCGTGAATTTGACCACACAACCACACCTAACACCTTGTTCTCACTTGAATAGGAACCTATATATATATATATATATATATATATATATATATATATATATATATATATATATATATATATATATATATATATATATATATATATATATATATATATATATAATCCTTTATATAATAAAGCTATATGGTTTGGGAAATAATTAATGCTACAATTAATGCCACAACATCTTTTATTATAAAAAAAAACACAACATTTAAAAAATAAAATAACTATATATTATATAATCATATAAAAATATACTTTTGAAAAATAAAATAGTTATATATTATATAATCATATAAAAAATGTATTCAATTAGAGTTTAAATTTACACATACAAAATTTGAAATTTGCTTTCCAAATGTAATTATCTCAGTTATTATTCGTATTGTGAAAATTATAATATAGATGAAATACAATTAAGAATAAATCAATGTAATTATGTAAATTCTCTCTATAAGTTTATTTGAATATGCACATAATTAGAGATTATATTAACCATGCAAAATTATAATTTTAATTTTAATTGTAATTTTGTATTCTATAAAAATAATAAATACTTGACCAATGAAAGCTCAAAAATATTATTATATTAAATAATTTAAAATATTTTAGTTTTTCTATTTTTTATTTATATTTATAATAACATAATTTTTTCCCGTGCATCGCGCGGGTGAATTACTAGTATGTATATATAACTTTACTTCAAATTTTAGTTTTTTTTTTTTTTTAAAGAAATGTATTAATAGGTTTAGCTGGTTTAAACGGGTTTCGTGTCATATCGTGTCAACACAATCCAAAATCTATTAAAAAAATATGTCTATCGTATAAACCTGTTTACAAATCGTGTTTGTATTCGTGTTAAGAAGTTAAACCCGTTAACCTTAACATTTCATGTCCGTGTTTAGCCTTATCGTGTTTGTATCATTATTGTGTTGAGCGAGTATAAATGAATAATACTAATGTTGTTGCTTTGTTTTGCACGTATGGGGCTCGGTAGAGGTTTTGTCACCCCTCCCTCAGCACCTCTGAAGCCCCCCCCCCCCCCCCCCCTAAGCAGAAAGAAGGCAAGCTCCTCGGTGCCCGATCCATGCGAGCCAACCGTGCCGACCGCTGTTCCCCTAGCCGTCACGACACGAGACAACTCACCAACTCGGGCCAGGATTTGCTCGCCTTCCAGGTTTAGAGCAAAAGGGGTAAGGAAAACGCCACTAACTCTAACCTCGAGGAGGTGTCTCCCTTGAAACGGACTTAGCGTTACAACCCCCTGGCTCGGACTCCCGTGGTGGATGCTCGACTGAGCAGTGAGCAACCAGCTGCCCTCCTGGGTAAGCATAGCGACCTGATCTGCCCGGGCGAGGATATGCACAATTGGACGGTTAACCAAATCGGTGAACGGGGTGCCAAAGATCTGGTGCTGGTATGCGCCTCGGTTTTCTATATTTCTTAACCGTTTGCTCGGTAAAATTAATTGATCCTTTATGCAGCTGACTCGCATTCTCACCGCCTTCTACAGCAGAGCCAAGGCCGCGGAGGAGATCGAACCCTTGAAGAAGCCCGTCTCTCTCTAGGAGGTCGAGATTAAGGACCTCAAGAGCCGGCTCAAGTCAGCGACCGAGAAGTGGTCGGCAGCCAGTGGCGGACCCAAACCTTTTCAGTGTGGGCGAAACGCATTTGATAAAATAATTCGAACAAAAAATACATTATAAACACATCTCATTATTAATATAAAAGAAAGTTATATATATATAAATATAAAATAAAGTTATATATATAATAAAGTCATAAAAAATATAACATGAACCCTGGCCTCTTAAAAAGATGGCACGAGCACCTTACCACCTAATCTAGTCATATTATATTAACTTTTATCTATTTTATTATACTCATACTAAAACTGGTACTATATATACATATATACATACAAGGGTTATATATGGGGTGGGGGTGGGGTGAGGGGGCAGCTGCCCCCCATGCCCCCATGCTTGGTCCGCCCCTGTCAGCAGCGAAGAAGGAGGCCAAAAGTGCCCAAGAGGCTATGTTTAAGATCGTTAGTTCCCAAGAGGCTATGCTTAAGATTAACGACCCGAGTCACCGCTCACCTCTACCACGATCAAGCAACAGGTGCTTTTTCCGGGCATTCCTGAAGAATCAAACCGGTGATGACCTCATTTTGGGCCTTCAGAAAATGGGCCTTTACCATTGACAAAGGCACATGCAACAAGGGGTTTGAACAACCTTGACGGAATCCTTAACCCAGGCCCTGCTCCCTACACGGAGCCGGTCGCTGCCGAGCCGATCTCTCCCTTCGCTACACGGAGATGCCGAGCTGATATCTCCCTCAGCAGAGTCAGAACACGAGCCGATCTCTCCCTCAGCAGAGTCGGAACACAAACAGGCCCGCACCAAGGAGTAAAGGTAGCTAAAACAGGAGCCTGACCCTAGTTATATTAGGTACGCTTACGGAGCCGGTCGCTGCCGAGCCAATCTCTCCCCCAAGTAAAAACACGAACAGGCCCACACCAAGGAGTGAAGCTAGCTAAAACAGAAGCCTGACCCTAGTTATGTCAGGTACGCTTTTGATCATTTACTTAAGGTGCATGGAACATATATGTGTCTTAATATTAATATATTATCATTATAGCACTTCATAATTTGCTGTAAGACTAAAAAGAGAGTGAAGGGAATTTCATTGCATTTTAAAAGATCCGTGATCAACAATATTAGTACATTTTGCAGTGAAAATAAAATCAAACACATTATTTATAATTAATTAATTTAAACATATAATCATATTATAATTAAATAAATAATATTTTGATCTCTTTAAACATGTATAATATTTTCATAATTTCTTATTGTAAAATTAATTAAAAGTTAAAATCAATTATGTTTTAATTAGTTATATCATTGAAGTTTTAAACATTACTATACAAAATGATAAAAAAATTATTTTTAATATGAAAAAAAATAAATAATTATTTACTTCAACTATTACAAAAGTGACATATAGTCTTTACATGATAGGGGTGACAAGAAAAAACCGTACCACCACTATCTCAGAATACAATCTTGACTTCAAATATAGAAATCTTATGATGTTTCACATTAAATATAATAGATTGCTTTATTATTATTCCCATCCTTAATTAAGTTGTTTTTCCTCATCCTTAACTAGCTTATTGTCGTCCTTAAGAAGCTTGTCCTCATCCTTAAGCTGCTTGTTCTCTTCCTTAAAGGCCATATGCATGTCCTTACAGAACTTCGCCTCGTCCTTACATTCCTTGTCGTCGTCCTTACATTGCTTATTCTCAAAGTCCTTGCAACGCATGTCCATATACTCCTTAACTTGTTTTTTCTGAAAGGCCCAAAGTTCCTTCTCCTCTTCCTTAAGTTCCTTGCTCTCGTCCTTAAGCTTGCCCTCTGCAATTACAAAATAACCACAAAATTATTAATGAAAAAAAAAAACTAATTTAATATATAAATATAACTATAACTATATATACCTTTATACGCCTTGTCTGTACATCCCCTTTCACATTCTTTTCCGCATGCAAAGACGGTTTTTCCTGTGTCTTTGCAAGCAGAATGGCATGGATCGAAGCATGACTGGTAAACCGAAGAAAGCGAAGCGTCGACGGTGAGGACAAACATGCACACCAGACACACTGCAACGTTAACCAACTTCTGGGGCAGCCGACATTGTTTATTGTTTGTTGTTTTTGTTATTGATGTAGTGTTTCAATTCCTTAAGATTGATGATTATGGATGGGCAATGGTAGTATTTATAGTTAAAGCTAAGGGTTAGTTAGTTGTGGTGTTGCGTTGTTTTAGGATATGGATGCTTTAATTTACTTTCATCGGATAGGGATTTATCACAAATTAATTAATTAAATGTGGATCTTGCCTGGTCTTCCTTAAATTAATTCATTGCTTTACTGCTTAGCTTCATCCTCTTCCACTCAATTTAATAATCTCAGCTCCTCACCTTAGCTTCCTCAATTCAATATATATATTCATTATTGAAATGTGATATAATTTAAAAAGTAAATTATTATTTACATTACCTAATATAATTGTCCTACTAATTGATTCGATGTTCATACATTTGAAGACTTTTAAAAACTATTAATTACCTTAATAATTAAGATAATTTTTAGTCACATCAATAGTTCTAAAAGTATTACTTTCAATTTTTATAATAAGATATAATATTATTAAATCAAAATAATTAAAAATAATGTGTGAACAGTATACCAACTATTAAACATTGTTAGGTGTAAAAGATTTATAATAGTAATTTTATTGCCTAATAGAATTTATCAACTATGAAACATTGTTTATGGTAATTATCGTATGTCATTTAATACTAAAATAATTAGGTAGAGTTTGTATATTTAAGGTATAATATTGTTAAATCAAAATTATTAAAAATAATGTGTCCAAAATATAAAATAAGTTATACTTGCCTTAATAATTATTTATTACAATAAATTTACAATTATAAATTTGTATAAGAAAGAGCAAATACCAATTTTAGTTCCACAAGTATTAGCAAAATGACGGTTTTGGTTCACATGTTTAATTCCTACAATTTTCATCCACGACTATTGTTTTAGTACCAATTTTAATCCACGACTATTATTTTAGTACCAAAATTTATCACGTCGGTCACCCATCTATTTAAGAAATTTTGAAATTTTAAAATTTTAAAGGCATTTTTGTCATTTTCAACTTAATATTCCAATTTGAGCATAAATAAATGAATTTAAGCCCTAAGATCGATCCCAATTTGCAGTTCTCCTTTTCATCATATCTTAATTTGAGGAGGAAAACTGCGAATTGAGATAGATCTTAGGGATTAAATTCCTTTATTCATGCTCAAATAAGGATCCTAATTTGAAAAGCACGAAACTACCCTTAATAATTTCATATTTCGGCATGTCTTAAACGAATTGGTGACCAGTGTGATGAATTTTGGCACTAAAACAATAGTTGTGGATGAAAATTGGTACTAAAACAATAGTCGTGGATGAAAATTGGTAGAAATTAAACATGTGGACCAAAACTTTCATTTTACTAATACTCATGGGACCAAAATTGGTATTTGCTCTATAAGAAAATATAGAAACTTTTGGTTAAAAAAATTTATCTCTATTTCCTTTTTCTCTTTCGTCACCGTTACATTCCTATTCTCCGTAGAAAAAGGCAAAGTAGGATGAGAAAAAAGCGCTTCATCTACAACATCCTTCCTCTCAATTTGATTTAGCTTTTGCTTTGATTGCTGTTTTGCCAAGCGAATTGTGTAAATCCTAAACGCCGCTTGTAAAAAAAAAACATAAAAACTTGAATAGCATGTATAAACCTCGAAGTCAACATACTAACTCTAAGTTTCAAAAATCCTACAAAATTATCAAAATCACCGCCATTATCATAATAATTTCATGAAAGAGTGTAAATGGAGATTAACATAAAATTACTATAATAATTTCTTGTATTTAGGAGTTTTGTTTTTCAATTTTAAGTTAATGTTTGTTTTTTTTTTTTTGGGGGGGGGGGGGGGGGGGGGGGTTGTTCCCAGAAATTCAAAGACAAAGTTGAAGATAAAAGGTAAAAAATCATCAATTTCACTGTTACATTGATAAGTTTTTTTTTTTTTTTTTTTTTTTTTTTTTTTTTTTTTTTGTTTGTTTGTTTTTTTTTTTTTTTTTTTAATAAATACCTTTTATCTTCAACTTTGTCTCTGAAATCGTTCTAGATCTGGATGAAGATTTTTGTTTATATAATTTTGTATTAACTGTATTAGCTTATTCGGCTATTTTGATCTTTAACTTTCTTTTATTTTTGGACAAATCTGGCTATTTTATCTTGATTCAATTTTTATTGTTTTCTTAAAAAACTAAATAGTACTTGGTAGTTCAGATTCGTGACTTAGTGCTCGATCTCTATCCTTAACTTTTGTGTTTTTTGGTGTTGAAACCATGGTTTCGTTTCGTTCTTCGTATAAATCTTGTAATTATCTCAGAGGAATAAAGACATTTTTTTTTTTAAATGAATCACTTTCTGGTTCAGCAAAGTGCTTCGTTGCCTATGAGGAGAAGAAGAGTTTGATTTCCGATAAGAAAAACACCGCCCTTTCCTTACCACCGAAAAATTACGAAATCAGTTTTGTAGTCAATGTTACCCGGGTCTCCATCAACGTCCAATCCGTTGGATTCAATGGCACCAAAAACACTTCAAGCGACAATTGCAAATAATAATAATAATAGTCTTGAAAGCTGTAAAAAAATACTTACATTTTCATGAGTAATTTAATGTCGAATTTTTTTTATTTAAATATGTAACTCATAGTATATGATTACAATGTAATATATGAGATTCATTATAATTGTTATTATTATTATTATTATTGTGTTAAGGATATGTGTGGTTGATGTTTTCTATCTCTGTGTTGTTCTAATTATTCTCTTTTAGAATAGTTATTTTTAGATTAACTGTTACAACTCCTTAGCTATTAACTCTCTCTTGTATACTATTTGTACCCAGTAGCTTCACATCAATAATACTGAAGTTCTTTTATTTACATGGTATCACTGCCTTCCTAAATGACATGCGGTCCATACGACGATCTTGCCTTGACTCAGTGAAGTTCATCTCTTTACATATTGTACCCTTAGGTCATTTTACATGTTAATCTAAACAGTTAATTTTTTCAAATATCTTTTTACCAACCGTTGATATAATTCGCAGGTCAAATCCGCTAACGCTAACCGTTAACTGCTGATTGCCAAACAAGGACATTGCGAGATAATTTTTCACTTCAATTTGTTGTGTGATTTGAATACCTTATTTGTCAACAAAACCCTCAAGTAGTTAATATGATTGGCTTAATTATATTTTTTTTAAATTTTTTTATGGTATTAATAAAATACTTGGTTAATAAATATATACATTATTTTGTATTATAACTTTCATATTTAATTAAAAAATAGCCCACAAAAAAGATAATACACAATGTAGTGAATATAATCAATTGATAAATTTGAATGTAGAGAATTTTTACATTGGAGAAAAAATAAAGACAGTAAAACTAATGAAATTATTTCTCTAAATTAATTTATTGATAATGAATATTTTTTTTTAATAAAGACCTTGTAGGGACAATGTAGCAAATATAATCAATTGATGAATTTGAATGTAAAGAATTTTTATATTGGAGAAAAATAAAGACAATATAACTAATAACTTTATTTTTTTATAAATGGGATACCCTACATATACAAACTATTTACCTCAATTAAGGTTTGAACCTATCACTTCCCACTTAAGGGAGCAACCCGATACCAGTGAACAACATGCCACTTGGTAATTATTTTTCTTTTTTAATTTATTGATAATGAATAATTTTTTTTTGAAAATAAAGACATTGTAGATACATAATTCTAAATTAAAGAAATGCATCTTTTTTTTTTCTAGATATTAAATTATTATATAATTTAGTAAGAGTAAAATAGAGTACTAATTATGCCAACTTTGATTAGGATATGGTTCGAACCTAAGACCTTTCTTATTGAAATCAATGAGTAAGTAGAAATAAACGGAGAAAGATAATATTTAATCGAAAATTTAAGGATAATCATATAATTAAGGATAAATTATGAAATCTCAAAGAAAATTAAAATTTGATCAATATGAGCCATTCATTTGATTAAAAACTTTCACTATCAATTTGTTTTTCTACCATTTATATGCCTAACTCTCTTGGCTCATATATATATATATATATATATATATATATATTATATATATATATATATATATATATATATATATATATATATGTATATATAACTTTACTTCAAATTTTAGTTTTTTTTTAAAGAAATGTATTAATAGGTTTAGCTGGTTTAAACGGGTTTCGTGTCATATCGTGTCGACACAACCCAAAATCTATTAAAAAATATGTCTATCGTATAAACCTGTTTACAAATCGTGTTTGTATTCGTGTTAAGAAGTTAAGCCCGTTAACCTTAACATTTCATGTCCGTGTTTAGCCTTATCGTGTTTGTATCATTATTGTGTTGAGCGAGTATTAATGAATAATACTAATGTTGTTGCTTTGTTTTGCACGTATGGGCTCGGTAGAGGTTTTGTCACCCCTCCCT